TGGTGTCCCAGGGTGCTCCCTGGTGTTCCCCGCCATCCCAGGGTGTTCCCTGGTGTTCCCTGACATCCCAGGGTGCTCCCTGGTGTTCCCCGCCATCCCAGAGTGTCCCCTGGTGTCCCAGGGTGCTCCCTGGTGTTCCCTGCCATCCCAGGGTGCTCCCTGGTGTTCCCCGCCATCCCAGGGTGTTCCCTGCCATCCCGGGGGGTCCCACCTGTGCCCGCCTCGGCCAGCCCGTTGCGCACGGCCAGCGCTGGTCCCCGGGCGGGTCTCCTGCCGCCGCTGCCGCCGCCGAAGCCGCCGCCGCCGTTGTTGTAGCCGTCGTAGGAGCCGCTGCCGCCGTAGCCGCGGTTACCCCCCGAGTAACCGGGGCCGCCGCCGCCCCCGTAACCTGGGCACGGGGCAAAGGGGGTCATGGGGGGGTACCAGGGGGTCCCCATAGGTCCCTGTAGGTGCCAGTGGGTCCTGCTGGCTCCCTATAGGGCCTGGTGGGTCCTGGTAAGACCCAGGAGGTCCTGCTGGGTCCCAGTAAGTCCCAGTGGATCCTCGTAGGTCCCCATGGGTCCCCATAGGGCCAGTGCCTTCTGGTGGGTCCCAGTAAGCCCTAATGGGTCCCAGTGGGTCCCAGGAGGTCCCAGTAAGTCCCAGTGGATCCTCGTAGGTCCCCATGGGTCTCCAGAGGGCCAGTGCCTTCTGGTGGGTCCCAGTAAGCCCTAATGGCTCCCAGTGAGTCCCAGTAGGTCCCCATAAGTCCCAGTGGGTCCCAGTAGGTCCCCATGGAGAACAATGTGTCCCAGTAGATCCCAGTGGGTCCTTATGAGTCCTGGTAGGTCCCCATGGGTCCCAGTGGGTCCCAAGGCCCAGTGGGTCCTGCCAGGTCCCCACAGGTCCCCATAGGGCCCAGTTGGTCCCAATGGGTCTCAGGAGGTCCCAATAGGTCCTGGTGGGTCCCAGTAAGCCCCAACAGCTCCCAGCAAGTCCTGGTAGGTTCCACCAGGGCCCAGTGTGTCCCTATAGGGCCCAGTGGGTCCCAACAGGTCCCCATGAGTCCTGATACGTCCCTGTAGGACCCAGTGTGTCGGAGTGGCTCCCAGTGTGCCCTGTTGGCTCCCAGTCACTCCCAGTGTGCCCTGTTGGCTCCCCATGGCTCCCAGTGTGCCCTGTCAGGTCCCACTGTGCCCTGGTGGCTCCCCATGGCTCCCAGTGTGCCCTGTCAGGTCCCACTGTGCCCTGGTGGCTCCCCATGGCTCCCAGTGTGCCCTGGCAGGGCCCCCTGTGCC